AAAAGCAAGGAACCAACAGTCTGCTTGCAAATGTGTCAGACCTGTAATACAGATATATACGCAACACTCACTCAGTTTCTGGAACCGTTTTCAGTTTCTAGTTTCTTCAATTAAAAATTTTTTCGTTTCCTAGTTTTTTTTTCTATGTCTCAGTTTCTTTGATTGCAACTTTCTTCAGTTCCCAGTTTTTTATTTTTCCAATTTCTTCAGGTCCTAGTTTCTTCAGCTCCCAATTTCTTTAATAACTAGTGTGTTCACTTTACACTTTCTTCATTTTGCAACTTTCTTCAGTTCCCAGTTTTTGTGTGTGTGTGTTTTTTTTTTTTTTTAATTTTCCTATTTCTTCAGGTCCTAGTTTCTTCAGCTCCCAATTTCTTCAATAACTAGTGTGTTCACTTTACACTTTCTTCATTTTGCAGTTTCGTCAGTTCCCAGTCTCGTCTGCTCCCTGTCTCGTCAGTTCCCAGTGTCTTCCGTTTCCAGTTTCGTCAGTTCCCTTCGTCTTCAGTTCTCAGTCTCATCAGTTCCCAGTTTCGTCAGTTCCCAGTGTCTTCAGTTCCCAGTGTCTTCAGTTCCCAGTTTCGTCAGTTCCCAGTGTCTTCAGTTCCCAGTCTCTTCAGTTCCGAGTCTCGTCAGTTCCCAGTGTCTTCAGTTCCTAGTCTCGTCAGTTCCCAGTCTCGTCAGTTCCCAGTCTCGTCAGTTCCCAGTCTCGTCAGTTCCCAGTCTCGTCAATTCATAGTGTCTTCCGTTTCCAGTCTTTTCAGTTCCCAGTCTCGTCAGTTCCCAGTCTCGTCAGTTTCCAGTTTTGTCAGTTCCTAGTCTCGTCAGTTCCCAGTGTCGTCAGTTCCCAGTCTCGTCAATTCCCAGTCTCATCAGTTCCCAGTCTCGTCAGTTCCCAGTCTCGTCAGTTCCCAGTCTCGTCAGTTCCCAGTCTTGTCAGTTCCCAGTCTCGTCAGTTCCCAGTCTCGTCAGTTCCCAGTTTCGTCAGTTCCCAGTCTCTTCAGTTCCCAGTCTCGTCGTCAGTCCCAGTCTCGTCAGTTCCCAGTCTCGTCAGTTCCCAGTCTCGTCAGTTCCCAGTCTCGTCAGTTCCCAGTCTCGTCAATTCCCAGTCTCGTCAATTCCCAGTCTCGTCAGGGAATTAAACACCAACAAATAATACACCAAGGTGCCAGACAGAAATCTAATTCAGGAAAATCAACTGCAGCTCTAACATTTCTGATTTTTTCTTCTTCTTTATTTCTCCTTCTTTGTATTATTTCTTTCGATCTACATACCAATTCCCCACCCCCCACCTGACCCCCACCCCCCCCCCCCCCTACCCATCTTCTTAAAAAAAAAAATTTTTAACTAATTTTTTGTTTCCAATTGTTCTGCCCTGAAGACCATACATGATGAAATCCGAAATAAAATGGGTGGGGGGAGGGTGGAGGGGGGGGGGGGGGGCGGCGGCGGCGGCTGATGTAGTGTTGCTAGATTCCATTAGAGAACAACGGTTGAAATTGTTCGGCCATATATCTTAGCAACCAACAGACAATGCACCCCAGAAGTGATGATGTACAGTCAAAGCAGGAATTGAAAGAGTGGTCTACCATTCCAATAACTATGGACAGTGAGAATAATATAACGTGGCCCTCTGTAATCTTAGTATATTAAGGGAACAAATGAGCGCTATGACTGCAAATTATACTTTCCGTCGATACAGCAAGGAACCAGAGGATCAAAGATGAAATGTTGAAGATGATGACGATGATGATGATGATGATGATGATGACGATGAAGACAATCAGTCTTTATGTCTTTTAGTGTTTAATCTTTCCTCTTTCATATTCTACAGAATTATTGCAGTCTATGGGTTGTCCAGTGTGCTATGATGTCGGTTCAATACTTAATTTACCATAAGCACTATACCGCCAATAGAATAAATAATTTTTTTTTTAAAGTAATCAACATCCTTTTCTTCTTCATCATTAAAGGTGAAGGTAAAAGTAAAGTCGGAAGATGTGCACACGGTTATTAACCAGAAGTGCTCTGCTGATAAGAAACTGTCCGCCTGCGTCGCCATCCGCACGCAACTCCGTAGCTACAGCGACGTTCCTCCTTTTACCCCATAGTGTTAACTCTTGTACCCATTACTTATAGGCTGGGTTAACCCCAGGAACCGCCCGGTTTCGAACACCGGCCGTTTGCTGCAGCGAGTAATATTCGTTGCTGCAAATATCACCCGCCTCCATTCATCTCTGTGATTGTCCTTCTCTTTTCCAATTATTGACTCAATTGCTAGTTTGTTATCTACCTATCCACTTCATGGTCTACCCCTTTTCAACACTTGTGTGCATACACTTGATGCCTCTCGTTACCTGCTACTCATTCCCAAATGTCCCAATCATTGCAGCCTATTATCCTCGAGATGTCAGTAATTGCTGGTGATTTAAACAAGTTATGATTATCATTTTTTAAAATTCCCCTGCACTACTCCATTGTTTGAAATTTTGAGGGGTCCACAGATTCGTCGAAAGACTCTTTTGTTAACCCCATCAATCCCAGATGGCTTCATAGTGGAAACTCAGTTTAGCAGATTTTTCACAGTGAACAAAAAGATATCCGCGTATGACTTTCAAATGTACAGCACACACTGAGCTGTATTTCAAAATATCTGACCAGATTTCGTCTGCATGACCAAACTAAACATGAAATAAATAACACACCATGTGTTGCACTGATACACAGAGACATAAGGTGAGCACACTTGGTACGTTGTTTGGGACAGAAAAGCTTGTAAGAAGGCTTCGTCTACTTTTTTAAAGGAATACTTCCAGAAATATACCCATAAAACGTTTTAAAATGTTTAACTTTAGTAATTCCAACCCACATACTACAGTTTGCCCCCTGAGTTTGCACACAGTTTTCAAATAACGTCGTTTGTTGTGGTTTAGCCATCCATTTATTTAATGGATAGAAGAACACACCGGGGATGGCTTTTGGCACCAGACCCAACAACACAATATCATCAATCCAGAAAAATGGCATCTTTCTGACTATCTCGTTCATGGCATGCACAAGATCAACGGTTATGGCCGTAAAGTAACCTGGACAACGCATGAATTCGTAGTTACTTTTGGGGATTAGAGCTTGGGGCACGGCCCATTTCCCTCTTCTAGAAACCCTATCTTTGAACAGTCGGTAACACATTAATGTTTTCTCGGGATGGTGTTGCTGTACGTACGTCCAGTGTTCAAACACACGTTCTATGTTCATGAAGACGTCATCATCCACCCGGAATAAGCCGCGCATTCCTGTGCAGGAGTTGTCCAGATAGTTGAAGACCATTACAGCTTTGTAGGTCATATTGATGTAGGCGTCGATAAAATTGCCTTGGACCAGGTCGTCGTGTTTTTTGTTCTCTATCTTGAGCAGATCTTGTAGTCTGGGACTGTTGACCAGGCCAATGAAGAAAATCACCTGGAAAGATAAACAGTAGCTGTATCAGTAATAGTAATAATAATAATACAATTACCAAAGCAGAACGGCACTCAGGTCCCTACGTAAATTTTGTCAGTTTATTCCTCCGTTTGCCCAGTTTTTCAGTCACAGTTTATTTGATCACATTCATCGCTGCTTACTTACGCAGTAATCATTTACATAATGTTTAGTACACTTCAATTGAAGTATACTGACTACTTCACAGTCGTCATCTTCGAACTCTGGTACCCAATTGACCAAGAGCCAATCTCGGGATTTTCCTCGGTCATCTCTGCAGTTGCGAGTATACCGTCCAGTCGTCTCTTGCACGTGCTTTCTGCCAGGCCTGCTTTGACCATGGGCATGTAAAGCATGGCCCTTCTAATACGAATCCTAAATTTGACAAAAAGAGACATAATCAGAAATGACGGAAACAGGCTGGGTAGAACCAACGATGATAATTCGGACATCTGTCAAGACGACCACAAGTTAGTGTACCACAGAGAGGCCGTTCAATTAGAAACATCACAAGCAGATCAGAGATGTAGCTCCGACAAGCGATAAACAGATAGATGTATACTTTACAACCCTTGAATTCCAGCATCTCTCTTGCACACAGCATTCCTCTAGCCAGATGCTTCTGCAACACCTGACGTTGAAAGGCAAACAGGGTCTAGATAATAATAATAATAATAATAATAATAATGATAATAATAATAATAATGCGATTTCATATGTATAGGTGTTGTTCGGTCCGAGTATACATAGTTATGCTTACGGTGTTCATTCGCGGATTTTACCCTATTTACCCTGGCTGCCGTGGATAACATGCAATATCCAGGGAGGTAAATGCATGTTTGCCATAAGGGTCAACGAGTGCCAGTATGTGTTACAAACATGCTGGATAATGTTCAGATGAAATTCTTTACAGCGCTACTGGTGTCAGTATGGTAATAATAAACATATGTGTGAATATATATATATAAATATATATATATATATATATATATATATATATATATATATATATATATATATATATATATATATATATATATATATTAGGGCTGTACCGAATAGTGATTTTCACTATTCGGCCGAATACGAATAATGGGACCCACTATTCGGCAGAATACAAATAGTGTATAAAATATATCTAACAAAAAAAAACAAAAAAAAAACATTCATAATGTTAAATGTATGCTGAACTTTTACTTCACGTAAAGTAGCACAGAATAGTCTTCTTCTTCTTTAGCATTCTGGGCACTTGAGGTTTGCTGCTGCAGATATCACTCGTCTCCATTCATCTCTCTGGCTGGCCTTCTCTTCAAAATTTGTGACACTAGTTGTTTGCAGGTCTGGCTGGACATTATCTCTCGAACTTCGTTTGTGTCTGCCTCGTAGTCTACGCCCATTCCTCTCTCAGGTGTATACAGTTTTACTTCTCTAACATTCTTTCAGTATGCCCCACCACAATCATTTTAGTCTGTTAGCTCTCATGATGCCAGTGATCAATTGTGATTTAAACAGATTCTACTCACCTTGTACCTGTTAGGTTTAGTTTTGTTGAAGTCGCCGTACAGCCATCTAAACACTTCTCTGTTCTGGAAGTTAGAGGGGGCCGTATGGACAGCAATGATGGCGCTGAATACCCCTGCGTCACGGCATCTGGTTTTAGTATCCATCGTTACCTACAGAAATGTATGGTTAAATTATCCTTATTACGCAAACCATCAGTTAACAATAATTCAGCTAGTGTTTCATCGCTACCATTTCTGAACACTTCTCTATGCTAGAAGTCTGTGGCTTAGTCGGCGTCTATGGCTTAGACGTTGTGAACGCGCTCCCTAATATCGGAGTGCCAGGTTCGTTTCCAGCTGCGGACGATTTGTCTTGCGTTGGTTTCGACAGTGGTACCGAGAGCTGGCCGTACAGTAAGCAATGGTAAATTATTGAACGTAACATTTGCCTAGAAAAACCACAACAGCCCCCTCAAAAAAAGCTGGGGTTGGTTCTGCAACGTCCTGAAAAAGATACGCGACTAACTGTAGCATGGTAAACCACGGTCACGGCAAACCGGGCAGAAGCACGTGCAAGAGACGATGGCACAGGATTCTGGAGAGATAACCGAGGAAAATCACGAGATTTTATGTTGGTCTGTTGGGTATCAACATCTTCTTCTTTTTCTTCTTCTTCTTCTTCTTTTTTCTTCTTCTTCTTCTTCTTCTTCTTCTTCTTCTTGTTCTTCTTCTTCTTCTTCTTCTTCTTCTTCTTCTTCTTCTTCTTCTTCTTCTTCTTCTTCTTCTTCTTCTTCTTCTTCTTCTTCTTCTTTTTTTTTTTTCTTTTTTTTCTTCATCATTCTGAGCACTCGATATTAACTTCTGCAGATATCACAGATCTCTATTAATCTGTCGGTAAAGCTTTCTTTTTTCAGTAGGTGACTCCAAATGTTTGTTGATCTCTATAAAAACTATTTTGTATACTATCTCCCCATCGTTTTCTTAGTCTACCTATTAGTATACTCTCATTAAACTACCTTTGAAGGCAGTTTCTCTCTTTCTTTTTTCCTCTCTCCGTCTCTCTCGCTCTCCCATCGGCAGCTGTCTCTATATACCCAACCATTGCAGGAGATTAACCCCAATGGTGCTAGTAATTACTGGCGATTTGAACAGATTTTGAATTTCGTTGCTGCTTTTCACTCTCCATTCCAAGCAATGTCTTAAAATATACAATACAATTGCCATATAAAAAATAAATGCTTGGAAGGGCTGAAAATAATATTGGCCTGTGCGCCCAATATGTAACTCTTTAGAAATAAAGTTCTTTCGTTCGATAGGTAAAAAAATTCGTCATAAGACTCTGTTCTCAAGAATGCTCCTGTAATGAAGCTGCGTCTTCTTCAGCTGTAATTCATCTTTCAGAGTCATACCAGACAACTGGTCTAATCAGCACCACAAACACATGTACACTTACTTTTATAAGATCATCGTAGACTGGTGGCATATCCCGGTATATTGAGGTGCTGATTGAGACATTCTCTGGCATCATTACTTCATTTCGCTTCGCAAAAATCATCATTGCTGTGTTCGTCTCTATTCCCTCGTCAATTACC